TTAGATTATAAATTTTCAGAAGTAGCTGAGTTTCTTGAACATGTTTTTAAAACGAAAAATTTAAAATAAAATAAATAGGTTTTATGATTAAGGGAGTCTAGGTCAAAAATAAGTAAAAGATACGTGAAAAAAATATGTAGAGACAAATGTTCATTTTTAAGATGCAGTTGCTGTGTTAAACATGGGAAGGGATAAGAGCTAGCTTCTGGAAGGTACTAAGAGGAACAGCTTTGTAACAATAAAGCTATTAGAAATTCAGGTTTAATCAGAACATTGCAAGCATTCTTGAAGGGCATACAGACATAACTCAGGCAACACAATTCAAAGTACGTGGTTGGGAGATACCTTCTCAAGGTTTATGCCTCTTTTTAAAGCTTTTAAACTTTGTGAATTCTTTTTTAAACTTTATGCCTTCACTTAAATAATAACTTAAAATATCAACATGAATTTCACATGCTGGGTTATCTGGAAGACGATTTGATAGGAACTCCCTGCCAAGGATTTTAGTGGCTGACTTCCTATTTGGGTTTACAATTAACAGGGCACCAGGAACACCATGGTTATAGTCAGAAGTCTAAAAAAAAAAAAAATGTTGTGTGGGTGTGTGAGTTGAGGTAAACCATTCACATCCAGTGAAGACCACCTGACATTATAGTCCCTGTATGAATGAGGTCATGCCTATTGTTGAGTTAGAAAATCTTCACAGAATTAGAAAAAACTACTTTAAATTTCATATGGAACCAAAAAGCCCCTACAGCCAAGACAATCCTAAGCAAAAAGAACAAAGCTGAAAGCGTCATGCTACCTGACTTCAGACTATATACTACAAGGCTACAGTAACCAAATCAGCATGGTACTGGTACCAAAACAGAGATATAGACCAATGGAACAGAATAGTGGCTTCAGAAATACCACCACACACCTACAACCATCTGATCTTTGACAAACCTGACAAAAACAAGAAATGAGGAAAAGATTTCCTATTTAATAAACGGTGTTGGGAAAACTGGCTAGCCATATGCAGAAAACTGAAACCTGAACCCTCCTTACACCTTATACAAAAATTAACTCAAGATGGATTAAAGACTTAAATGTAAGATCTAAAACCATACAAACCCTAGAAGAAAACATAGGCAATACCATTCAGGACACAGGCTTAGGCAAAGACTTCATGACTAAAACACCAAAAGCAATAGCAACGAAAGCCAAAATTGACAAATGGGATCTAATTAAACTAAAGAGCTTCTTCATGGCAAAAGAAACTATCATCAGAATAAACAGGCAACATACAGAATGGGAGAAAATGTTTGCAATCTATCCATCTGAAAAAGCACTAATATCCAGAATCTACAAAGAACTTAAACAAATTTACATGAAGAAAACACAAAACCCCTTCAAAAAGTGGGCAAAAGATATGAACAGGCACTTCTCAAAAGGAGACATTTATGCATCTAACAAATGTGAAAAAAAGCTCATCATCACTGGTCATTAGAGAAATACAAATCAAAACCACCACGAGATACCATCTCACACCAGTTAGAATGGTGATCGTTAAAAAGTCAGGAAACAACAGATCCTGGAGAGGATGTGAAGAAATAGGAATGCTTTTACACTGTTGGTGGGAGCGTAAATTAGTTCAACCATTGTGGAAGACAGTGTGGTGATTCTTCAAGGATCTAGAATTAGAAATAACATTTGACACAGCAATCCCATTATTGGGTATATATTCAACAGATTATAAATCATTCTACTATAAAGACATAAGCACACATATGTTTAATGTGGCACTATTCACAATAGCAAAGACTTGGAACCAACCCAAATGTCCATCAATGACAGACTGGATAAAGAAAATGTGGCACATATATACCATGGAATACTATGCAGCCATAAAAAATGATGAGTTCATGTCCTTTGCAGGGACATGGATGACGCTGGAAACCATCATTCTCAGCAAGCTAACACAAGAACAGAAAATCAAACACCGCATGTTCTCACTCATAAATGGGAGTTGAACAATGAGAACACATGGACATAGGGAGGAGAACATCGCACACTGGGCCTGTCGGGGGCAGGGGATTAGGAGAGGGATAGCATTAGGACAGCTATCTAATATAGATGATGGTTTGATGGGTGCAACAAACCACCATGGCACATGTATACCTATGTAACAAACCTGTACATTCTGCACATGTACTCCAGAACTTAAAATATAATTTAAAAAAGGGGGAGGCAGGATAAAAGTATTAAATTTATATTAATAAAGAAATAGTAAAATTATGATTATCAGAGGCTGTGAGGTGAGAGGATTGAGGAGATGTTGGACAAATGGTACAAAGTTTCAGTTAGAAATGAGGAATAAGTTCAAGAGATTCATTGTATATTGTGGTGATTAGAGTTAGTAACTATGTATTGTATACTTAGAAATTGCTAAGATTTGATTGAAAGTGTTCTCAACACAAAAAATAAGTATGTGAGGTAATGCATATGTTAAATAGCTTGATTTAGCCATTCCATAATGTATATACATGTATCAAAACATTATGTTTTACACCATAAAAATATACTATTTTTCCTTGTTGAGTAAAAATAAAGAAAACAAGTTGTTGAATAAATGAAAAAAAGAAGGAAAATGTTCATAATGAAAACTGGGCATATATGACAAACCCAAAATGATTGTAACATAGCAACAGTATCATATGGCAATTTTGTTTTAGCCCAACAATCTCATTAAATTAATGATTATAATCCAAATTGTACTATTTTCATAGGGCCTTTCTGTTTAACTTTAAAGGTGTTTTTGTTTTATAGCATAGCATAAGAACTATAAGGTATGATGCTTACAGCAAATTTTATGTTTGTATATATTTTAAAAATATTGGAATACAGTATTTTAAGTCAATGCTGGAGTTGATTATTTTGCTTTTCCCTTTAAATGACAAGTCAGTTATGAGAAACAACGACAAAAAAAGGAGTTTTTATCCCCAGATTCATAGTCCTTGAACTAGATTTCATGTTCATTTATATTGCTTCCTCAAAAAGCCCATGTAAATTGGATGGGCTAGGTCAACAAGCTTCATCAACAAGCTTCAAATGATCATCCTTCATTTGCTCCATGGAGTTAGACAGATGTTGGTGCGAACTCTTATACTGCCTGCCCATTTCTAAATGTGCGAACTTAGGCAAGTTTTTTACTTTTTCTTTATTTTGGCACCCCCTTGTGTGAACTGAGAATACAAATACTTAGCAGGATTGTTTTGAAAATGTTAATATATGATATTATAATAAAATGATTAGTATTAAAAATAGCCCTCATTCGATAACTATAATTGGCACCAAATGAGCTTCCTTGACATTTCACAGGCTCTGTACTGTGATGAACCACAGTCCAGAGCTCCCAGGCAACTTTTCACAGCGTGAATAGCCCTCTTTGAAAAAGTTACTAAGTATCAGCCACTTTAAATACATAATCTCATTTAATCCTAACAAATTGCTAGTATCATTCCTATTTTACAGATGAAAAACAGGCCAAGACAGGTTTACTTGACAAGAAATTGCACAGATCTGAATGCAGACTGGACTTGCTGTGATATCCCAAATTCTCCCTCACCATGTTATTTTGTCCAAAATGAAACTAAAATACTTGGCATAGATCTACACTTTTGTAGGCACTCAGAAGTATCATTTCCACTCTTAAGAAAACAATTCATGTTTCATTTCGCTTCTCATCAGATGTAACACACACAGAATATCACCCTCTTATGTTATTATAAGATTTATATCACTCGAATTGCAGACTTTTGTTCCCTAAAGTTCAAGAGTGAAAAGTATGAATATGAAGAAATTTCATGTCAGGTCATGGTATGGGAAAAGATGCTTATGTCAAGATTTATCATTTCTAGTGACCAGCACCTAGCAGATTGCTAGTTTATTAGATTTATTTATTATTTTCATTGTTTCCTTCCCAATGAACAGATGACTCCTATTTATCTGATTGTAGAGTAACCTCTGAGCTTCATTAGCTAGAATTTTGTTTTCTAAAGTGTAGTCCAAACAACTTTTTCTTGGCACAATATAGGACTCCATTAGAACCATCAAGACTAAAATGTCATCTCTCTTGATAGAAGAGAACTGGGGCCACTGCCTTTTCATGGCTTTCTGTAATACCTTTTCTGCTGACCTCTTGGTTACAGTGCTAAGAAAGACACAACCCTTAGTTATGTGAGATGTACTAGCTGATTCAATAAGCCTTTATAAAAGCTTTATTTTTGGCTATAGGTACGAGGTTGTATTAGTGCTACAAGCTAAGCAGAATCTATAAAGCAAATTTCAGTTCCCTCCAAAAAGGCAGCTCTTATGTATAATAGACAGAAATATCATCTATTAGATACTCAGCAGTGCCTCAAATGATTTTCATGAGCAATAGAATGTCTTTTATTGACAAAAGCCATACAGATTAGAACAGAATTACATCTTTTTTGTTTCAAAATAGAATTAAAAATGATAGTCTGTCAGGTTAGCCATGATGGATTTTATTTTATTCTAACGTCTTATGCTCATTTGTAGACTAGATCAACCAGCTCTTCTAACTCCACAAATCTTCCTTCGTTCTGCTATGCAGCTTAGGGCTTATTTAGGTGGTTTAGCACAGGGCTTTCTGACCCTAAGCAGAGACTGGCACCAAATAAGCTTGCCTGACACTTTATGAGGTGTGATGAACAGTCCAGAGCTCCAAGGTAACTTTTCACAGCATGATTTGGAATCTACTTGCAATTACATGTGGCTAGTGAAGCTGCATCTGGAGAAGCCTAATCAGAATTTGTCTTCCATTTAGCAGAAATAAAACGAGCCCACTCTTTGTGTCAGAATTCATCTTTACACTATAGAATGAGCAATAACCTAAAATCAATGCCAATCTCCTGGATATGGTGTATATACTTGAGAACGTGTTCTGCAGAATGTTTTCTACATTACTTTCATCACTGTGTTTTCTATTTCAGGGCCCACTCTTCCTAAGACCCATGTGAAAACAGCCTCCCTTGGGTTGGCTGGAAAAGCAAGATCCCCTTTGCTTCCTGTGTCTGTGCCAACAGCCCCTGAAGTGTCTGAGGAGAGCCACAAACCAACAGAGGATTCAGTCAATGTAAGGACATCTTTAAAATTCATGCTTCATCAAGGGACAGATTGACTGGAGCTGTGTAATAGGATCTAAACCAATGAGTACTGTCCATTCACCCCAGGCCACCCCAGGGCATTGTTGTTCTTATTGTTGTTTGTCCTTCTGTTTTCCTGCACTTAAATATGAAGAGGAAATAAAAGCTATGAGAAAAAATTATGTCAGAGACATTGTTATGTAAAAATTTGATTCCTAAGGACAGTCTTAGAAATACGACCAGATAGCTACATAATGTGTGGTTTTACACCCATATATATGTAATATATATACATATACACATGGATATGTGTGTGTGTGTGTTTCTTTTCAATAGGAAGAAATACCTTACCATTCTTGGAAATAAATAAGACTATATAACTCTTCTTCTTCTTCTTCTTCTTTTTTTTTTTTTAAGAGACAGGGTCTTGCCATGTTCCCCAGGCTGGAGTGTAGTGGCTATTCACAGGCACAATCGTAGTGCACTACAGCCCTGAACTTCTTAGCTCGAGCAGTTCTCCTGCCTCAATTTCCCAAATAGCTAAGACTACAGGTGCACATTGCTACACCAACTTATACAGTTATTCTCTAGAACTAAAAAATATGGTGACAAAAAACTATATTATGAGGGTTTTTTTGAAATTGTATATGTTACTTCTGAGATCATAAAATACCCAAAAGTATAGATTTGTGAAGAAGAAAATATAAAATAAAAAATTGAAGGAGTTTAAGTAATACCAAAACGAAATGACATATTTAGAAAATAAGAAGGGAAAGTTTATTGAAAGACAGAAAAAGTTTTACTGAGGAAACAAGCTAAAAAGGGTTCCAGTTAGAAAACTCAGAAGGAACATCAATGGAGAAGGGGAAAAAACATCAGAATTTTAAGAAAAAACATTTATCCCAAAAATGCACTATAAAGGAAATTCAAAAAGATGTTGCCTAAAGGCAACTATTTATAGTACACTTTAGTTGTTTCTGAATATAATTCAGAGAAAACATTTAAAAGAAGCCTAAGGAATTAACATATCAGATATCTTGAAAAATCAGGGCACTAGAAGAGAAAAAAGATGAAAAGAGCAGATTAAAATTCTATTGTGTTATTACATTTGAATCTTTTTTAAGCATAAATTATGAAATGAGAATAATCTGCCACCCTTCTGTTTTTTTCATGCATAAATGTAGTCTTCTGCAAAATTTGCAAATAATATATTGAAAAAAAAATGTATAACAATATCAAGGAATAAGTAGGTCACATTTAATCAGTCCTCTGTAAGCAATGCAACTACCAGGTTTTTAATAAAATTATACTTTCTTTTGATAGCTGGTTGTTGTTAAAAACAAAGAATCATTTCATTTGAGTGAAGAACAATACATTTTTCTTGACTTAATTTTTTTCAAGACTACAAACAATAAAATATTTTAACTACATAGAGACCAAGGAAGCTGACTATGTGGATATGTCTGTGAATGTTTTGGCAGATGAGTGTTATATACTTAACATACTTTTCAAAGATTCAAATTTATAAGACTCCAATGTACTTTTGTCAGAATATAGCTGTTTACTTCAATATCTGTTTAGGATCAAGGTTTGTGGCCACATCTCAAATAAAATCAAACTTCTAAGTTTACATGAAGTATCTCATCTCGTAAGGAATAATGTCAGCTAGGCCCATTTTTACATTAAAGGTTGACTCTAAAGAATGGCAGCCAAAGTTATACTATTAAAAGCAGTAAGAAACACATATTAAAGGAAATACAGAAACAGGGCAAATAATCTAGACCAGCATTTGTCTATGAAAATATAATGTGTAATTTTAAATTGACTAGAAGTTACATTAAAAGATGCAAAAATAAACAGATGAAGTTAATACCTTTTATCTAACCCAGTATTTCCAAAATATTATGATCTCAACATGCAATAAATATTTAAAATTGTCAGTAATATATTTTACTTTTTTTGCACTAACTGTTCCAAAACTGGTGCATATTTTTTCATGTAAAAGACATTTCAATTTAGGCACATTTTAAGAATATAATAGTTACATGTAGCTGGTGGTTGCTGTATTGTACAATGACATCTAGACACTTTGAGAACAACCACCAGACAAGGAAAACAACATTTTGGAAATGAGTTACCTAGTAATCCCCTTACTTCAACTTCTCTCATACATATATACACAAACACACAGACACACAGAGACACACACACACACACACACCCCTATATGTAGTATGTATATAAACAGACTTTTAGCCATATTGGAAACTTTTCAGTCCCCTATTAAGCCCTGAAGACTGGGTAATGTATGCCCAAATCATTCACAGACATGCTGAGATTTCTATAGGAAGCTCATACATTAATATGATACATTTTGAGCTGCTTTTTCAGTGGCTGGAGTAGCTTTGTGCCTACCTCCCACCCATGCAAATTCTATCAATGCTCGCTTGAGATCAAGGGTGTTTATTTGGCAAGATTAGATATACATCTGTGACCATGGTACAGAGGAATGTGTTTTGGCCTATGCAGAGCTAGAAATCATGGCTCAGGCCTGATTGGTTCAATCATTTAATCAATGGAATGTGCTAGCCAAGAATAATAAGAAGAACATCTGTATAAGTCAAAACAAATAATATGTTCAAGAAAGGAAAAAAAGAAAACTAACATTTATTGAACACTTACCACTGGGCAGCTGGTAAGTGCCCCTGACTTGTTGAATCCTCCTAACTCCTCAAAAGGCAAACTTGTTGTTCTTATTTCACAAGTAAGGAGACAAATTCAAATAAAATGCGCAAGTATATAAAAGGACTGGGGTTCAGATCAGTGTCATATCTTGTTTCCCCATCTGGCTAACTGTCAAAACTACCTGGGAATTTTTCCTTTAATAAGGATGTCTAGGTTCTTCCCATACCTTCTGAAGCAGAATTCCTAAGCCTAGTGACCCGGTATTTGTGATAACTAATAATCCTATTACTTATTGACATGATAACAGTGACTTGCAGTGAGTGATTTTACAGAGTGAATTAGTCACAGTTCACTAGGCATTCTGCAATTCAACCTCTTCTTTTATCCACCATTCAAATTGTCCCAAAAAGGATTGACTCAGATTTGGGGCATGAATTTTGTTTCCACACACAAACTAAAGTCATAATCCCCAGAAGTTTCACTGGTCAAGGCAAAGCCCATTGAGTTCTCACACACACACACACACAAAAAATGTATCTATATCATGATACAGAGAAAAAATATTCTGTTCACATCTTTTTTATTATTATTTCTAACACCATTGGAAGGTATTAATAAGATAACAATGCATTTTAAGTAATATTGATACATTTGAAACATCTCTTATTTACCATGTGCCTATCAGTTAAGATGTTCTGCTGAGAGATCTGTTGTTAGTCTGATGGCTTCCCTTTGTGGGTAACCTGACCTTTCTCTGGCTGCCCTTAAGATTTTTTTCCTTCATTTCAACTTTGGTGAATCTGGCCAATTATGTGTCTTGGAGTGTCTCTTCTCGAGGAGTATCTTTGTGGCGTTCTCTGTTTTCCTGAATTGAATGTTGGCCTGCGCTACTAGCTTGGGGAAGTCTCCTGGATGATATCCCTGAGAGTGTTTCCAACTTGGTTACCATTTTTCCCCCTCACTTCAGGCACCCTATCAGACCGTAGATTTGGTCTTTTACATAATCCCATACTTCTGTGCAGGCTTTATTCATTTCTGTTTCTTTTTTTCTTTAGATTTTCTCTTCTCGCTTCATTTCATTCATTGATATTCAATCGCTGATACTCTTTCTTCCAGTGACTTTTCAGTCGTTACTGAAGCTTGTGCATTTGTCACGTATTCCTCGTATCATGGGTTTCATCTCTGTCAGTTCTGTTTTTAGGCCTTCTCTGCATTAATTATTCTAGTTATCAATTCTTCCACTCTTTTCAGATTTTTGTAGATCTTTTTGCTTGGGTATTGTAATTCCTCCTTTAGCTCTGAGAGTTTGATGGGCTGAAGCCCTTCTTTCTCTGATCTCATCAAAATTATTCTCTGTCCAGCTTTGATCCGTTGCTGGCAATGAGCTGCGTTTCCTTTGCAGGGGAGATTCGCTCCTATTTTTTGAATTTCCAGCTTTTCTGCCCTGCTTTTTCCCCATTTTTGTGGTTTTATCTGCCTCTGGTCTTTGATGATGTATGCGTACTGATGGGGTTTTGGTGTGGGTGTCCTTCCGTTTGTTAGTTTTCCTA